TTTAATTAGTCATGAAAAATATATATCTTAAACAGATCTTACTAAAACCATTTTTATTATGAAATGCATTTCACTGTAGATAGTTTTTATATCTATTTAATTCATATAAAAATACACACACGTGTTGAAAATTTGTACTCTACAGAGTAAACGTTCAAACTCTACTCATTAAATGAAAGTGCGCTTTTTCGTAAGTTTGACCTCCAGCATAGGAGGTCTGTTTGTTTGTTGTTAAGCACAAAACTGCACAATGGGCTATTTGTGCTTTGCTCACCACGGGTATCGAAACCGGTTTCTAAAGTTGTAAATTTGCAGACATGCCGCTGGGCCACTGGGAGAGGGGGGGGGGTAGGAGGTTTAAAAAGAAGCAAGTGTAAAAAGTTTTCACTTTTTAATAAGTCTCTAATATTCAAATAGATTAGCGAATCTGTTAAACTACCTATATCATAAATAATATTCAGCACGATAATTGATACAGATAATTAAGTATATTATTTTTACGTACTTATAAGATTAGAATATATTATTTCATCAGTTAGCTACTCACATTGTTAACAATATTTTCGATCAGCTGAGGAGATTTTAGCTAACAATGTACAATAATATCTATAATAAAATTATAGGAAATTTATATAATACAAGTTTAGTAAAAATTATTAATATGAAATATTTTCACGCCTACAACTAGGGTCTCTAAAAAATGAAACAAACAAGGTTGGAAATAGTGCGTACATTATTTTCTCAAGCTGCAAATCCCTATTTTGACTCCACTAAAATTGATAAATACTGTAGACATGGAGATTAAATAAGGCGACACAAATAATGCATGCAAAATAGATAAGAGCGACACCCTTAGCGTAAGTCGCCAATTCTCCACAAAATTTGCAACTGCTTCCTTAACACTAACTATTCAAAAATAGTGATAGCTATATGAAATTGTGCTATATACAGTGGTAATAAATATTGAATACGGACTCACGATTTCAGCTAAGTATCAGAAACAGTAGAAAGAATCAGCACCGTTGTTTGAGTAGGAAAATCTACTATGGTAATCGTCCAGTGTTAAAAACTTGCTGAAATATGGTCGTGGAAATCCACGTAGAGACAGCAAACTCGAGTAACGATATACAACAGCAGAATCTGGAACCTTTTACTTGGTAATTTTCAATCAATGCGCTAGAAAATGCACGAGTTGTAGTTTCCAACTAACCCACACTCTAAGAAAACAACAGATTTTTTTTATGACGGAAAGTGAAGGACTTAGAAAATTTCACAGCACGACAAAATTAAGGAGATCGAATTAAAAGTATTATCTCAGTTTTTGCAGAATTCTTGTGCGATCCTACACTACAGCAGATATAATTAGCAATAATTATATAGCTGATTCATAATAGGGATTTGTAGCTTGAGCAAACTGTCAGCAGTAGATCTCCAGCCTTTTTTGCTTACCTTTTTGGGATCCCTATTTGTAGATTTTAAATTCTCAATTTTTAATTAACTTGTATGTTGGCTTTTTGAATGCACAGTAATGGACAAATATATGCCTAGAATAAGACATAACCTCCATTAAGCATGTATAAAATTTTATCAATAAAAAAGCAGCTTTAACATATAAAACAAATACGTCTAAAGCATCGCTTAAATAAAGTTCTGTGTCTTTTAAAGTAACTATTTACTGAGCCACGTGGCTTTGTGCCTGAGGTTTCGTGTAAATACGCGTTTAACACGCGTCGAGTACAAGAGCAGTCGCACAGAATAACATTGCAGCTATTATGTATTTATAACCACGTAAATTAACTTTCAATGAAAATTATCAGCTTCTAAATAAGTCATGGACATTCGCAGCGCTTCATACAGTGTATATCTCTCTAAATTATGGTGTAAAATACCCATCCAATTTTGCTGTAGGCTTGTGAAACAATAATAATAATATGAACAAATAGGCAAATTTTGACTTTGTCTACAATCGTGAAATTACTTACTTTGCTTATTACCAGTGTTTGAGTGGTCTTAACTATTGAAAAGGAAGGTTTGAGGTGTTTCTTTCAAAAATAAATCTGTTTATAAGGTTTTTTGTCCGAATGTTCTCTTAGAGTTTTTAGCAAATTCCTGTGCGATCCCTATTATGAACCACTGTCGTGGTTCATTATTATTGAAAGTAATATTAAAGAATAAATAGAGTATACCTTACTTATGGAACGCATATGCCCTAGTTGTTTGCTTTTTGTACTGTTGTTCTATTGTTGTCTTTATAAATATTTCATATTAGGCCACATGCAAGTTAAATAAAGGCTTATATGTAAGAATGTAAATGGGATATGGTAATATTTACAGTTCAGTCATAAAAACAACAAGCGATTCAGTAGATGCTAAAAAACTGACATGGAAAACTGGAAAAAAGTACTACAAAAACATTATTTTGACGTCAACCTTAGAGCTTCGTTAAACAAGTCTTTCAGTCAAGGATACGTCTAGCTTAAGTTCGCCTATCTAGAAGATGAGAACAACGTTAGACAGTTTGTGTCTATAATGTCAATACCAATATAAAAAATTATACAGTTAGTATAATTTGTTGCATATTTTGTTATACTCAGTTTGTATACCTTATAAACACAACTTATTAATTTGTAGAAATAAGTTACAGTTAGTATAATTTATTATTTATTTTGTTTTACTCAATTTGTATACCTTATAAACACAACTTATAAATTTGTAGAAATAAGTTACAGTTAGTATAATTTGTTATTTATTTTGATCTACTCAATTTGTATTACTCAGATCTATGCTCACGTTCATTATACTTGACAGAAGATTGTTAATACTGTTTGTAGAAACGATGGTTTATGTTTGGGATGTTTGTTCTGATGTTTTCTCGGCGTTGATGCTCTATTTGTATCATCTGCGGCAACATTTCTACAGGATCAAGCGTCTACTATAAACGGCAATGTCAATATGTCGCGTAACCGTATAATTCTATAACCAAATTTGCTAAGAAATGACAGCTAACTTAGACGCATTTCTACAGTTCGTAAATTCTCCTTTATACCTTGCTCAACAATCAAACATGATCTAAAGATTTGGCAGTTAATATTAAAAATGGCACTTAACTATGCAAATTATAGAATTTGTTCACGTTTTTTACAAAAGTTATGCTTATAAACATAATGAGCACAATAACACACGTGTGAGGAATTGCTTACTGAATTTCCTGTATATGATTAATATTGAAATTGTTCTTTGAACAATCTCTTTGAAATAAAATGTATACTTACGTTTGTTTATACAGCTAATGGTGCTGAGAAATTTGAAATTATACTGCTAAATTCTGAGAAAATAAATGCTGTACCCATTTTTGAGATTAATAACGATCAATAATAAACAATATATAATGCTACTAAAAGATTTCGCCAACAGATCTCTCGAGAAACGCTGTTGTGACATTCCATCAAGTTTAAAATAAACAGAGAAACAGATCAGTTCTTACACGCTGTTGTTTATTTATGTCTGTGTTTAGTGAATATATAAGTCATGGTGTCGTAAAATGCTAAAAGTCTACTTGGCATCGAAACTAACATGTGTTATAAATAGTTTTGTGGTTCATGTTCTATAACATGTGTTTCTAAGTTATCCACACTAATCATTTGCTAGATCTAAATATCATATCAGAATAAAAAAATTAACGCTTTTCAGTACCACTAATCTGTCGTGAAGACAAGTCTCTGTTTGTTTGTCCATGTAGCCAAGGGTAACACTTTTCAGCAATGTCAATCTGTCGTGCAGACGAACTTCCGTATGTCTATGTATCCAAGAGTAACGCTTTTCAGCAATACTGATCTGTCGTTCAGACGAACTTCCGTATGTCTATGTATCCAAGAGTAACGCTTTTCAGCAATACTAATCTGTCGTTCAGACGAACTTCCGTATGTCTATGTATCCAAGAGTAACGCTTTTCAGCAATACTGATCTGTCGTTCAGACGAACTTCCGTATGTCTATGTATCCAAGAGTAACGCTTTTCAGCAATACTAATCTGTCGTTCAGACGAACTTCCGTATGTCTATGTATCCAAGAGTAACGCTTTTCAGCAATACTAATCT